CCCGCCACCCCCCAGAGCGCGCCGTGTGTTGCATCGCAATGAGATCGCCGCCCGCACCTCGTCCGTCGAGAGCCTGGGGAGCTCGCCGCCGTACCGGCTGCAAGTGTGGATACGCAGCCAGTGGTGCGGGATTGCATACTCGATATGGCCACAGGGGCCGGGGGCCGTGGCCCTTTGCGGGTGTAAAGAGTGTAGGCAAACCCGCAACACTGCTGCGTATTCACCATACAGTTACACTCGGTACACCAGGACCGCCGCGGCAAACCGGGCGGGAGCGATGAGGTGGGGCCCCCCATACTTCAAACGAACATTGATTTGTATCCTCCTCGACATCGCCGCTCAGCCATAGTAACGCGTCTGTTTCACGTGACTATGACGTCTCCGCAATTATCCCCCTTCCCCCCTCTCTCCCCAACTCCCATCTTCTGCTGAATAGCAAAACAAAACAACATTGTATAAGTTCCTCTACAGTCTTTTCAAAATGCACAGTATCAACTAGCTCAATTTTATTTATTTTTTACAAGTTAAATGGAGTTGCGCCGAAGGAGAGAAAAAAAACGAAACAAAAAGAGGTGGCGAACGAAACACGAGGTAATATAAGAAGTTATCAGCCATTCGGATTCCTGGCTCCGCAAGCTCCATACCCAGTCGCTACATAATAACCCACATCACGCGCGCCCATATGACTCTGAGCCCAAGGGCGAGGAGTCCGCGAAGGGCGACCCTTTGACCCCCGCGGCAACACGAGCCCGCCGCGTGTGCGTCACGGGCAGGCAGGACGGCAGTCGGAGGAACCTCGGGGAGACAAACGTGCTAACTATCGAATCACCACACCACAGCCGTCCAGTGCGCCACGCCTGTTTTTCCAATCGCTTGACACCTCATCATATATCCCTCCCCCATGTTGCAACTGCTCGGAACAGCGCACTATGCCCGGACCTGGCGGGAAAGGGGGATGATGTGACACGGATGGAGATGTCTGGGCGACTTTTAAAAGATTCATATTATAAATGTCAGGAAGGTTCGTTTCTATGCCTCTTACACCGCCCTTACACTTGCTGAACTGTAAACGCCGTGGTCGACTAGCTTGCCAAAATTTTGGCTCTCTTTTCAGATTGCCAAATTTTGAAGACAGCATGTTCATTTTGGGCCTCAAAGCTTGCAAAAAATTTGTCTTTTTTGAATCAAAGATTCAATTTTGGAGAAACTTGTCAAAAGACGGCCAAATTTTGTGAGTGGAAATAAAAAAAAATTAAAAATAAAAATACGAGTGCCCAAATGTAGTTGCTCCCTACACAAATCATAACGGTATAGACCTTCAGAGCAGTACTGCTCTGAAGTATAGACCCTCACTTCCGCTTTTTCCTGGAATTGCACTGGAATTGCCTGCCCCTTCCTTCTCCCCCATTTGCATGACGCAGCCTTGGAGCCCGGCGCGCCGAACTCCAGTCCAGGTCCGGCCCCGCCATGCAGCAGGCGTGTCCGGTGTCCAGGACGACAACAGAACTGGACGAGGCAGGCGTCGAGGTCGACCGGAGGAAGGGCGGGGCGGGCGGGGCGGGGCAAGGGGTGCGCGGGGTCGTCAACACGCATGGGGCGGCCGCAGCGCGCGGAGGACGCGCTGGCCCAGGCGGTCACGAAATGAGACACGAAGTGAGTGATCTTGCTCGGCATCAGAACGTTAAAACTCGACAGGTTCTTCAGACGAAATTCGGGCTCTGACCTCTAAACACACGCCGCGATGACACGTCATCCATTCTTACGCCAAGTTCGCGCTGCGGCGGCGGGGCATAGGGGAATCCCGGATGACGGGGGAGCTGCCGCGCTGCCGGGCGATGAAGGGTGGAGGTGCAGCCCTCCCCCTCCCCTCTCCCCAAAAAAGAAAGAAATAAAGACTCCCGCTAGAGTGAAAGGAAAATGAGCATCGGGGCGCAGTCGAGGCGAAGTGCGTCACAGCGAACACCCCAAGTGTTGCGGGTTTGCCTACTCTCTGCACCGGTCAGTAAGGCACCGTTATCAGAGGCCCCGCCTGCGGCCCAAGAGTCATTCAAAGTGTAAGCTCTTTTGCACCCACGTTACCGTAGGCGCAACAAGAATTAAACCTCTGATCTGAAGGCGATATTACTACAAGCCGAAACGCTTCATTAATATTTTTGCGGTGACAGCACTTGCGGTGCATACGTACTAACAAAATTGTTCATGTACACTGATTTTATCAGCGAGCCCAGCCCAATGGACGCAAACAGTCGTTGATGCTCGCCTCCTCCTGCGTGGTTGTTGTGGGGATGGAGGAGCGCGGCCAGAGTATAGTAGTCGCGAGGAGCAAAAAGGACCTCCGGGCCAGGCAGGCGCGTTGCACAAGGCTCCAGAACAGGTTGGGCGGGGTGGGGCGTTCAAGGTCAGGGCCAAGCCGAAGCCGAAGGACCGGGGGGAGCTGGGTGCGGCGGAGACCCCAAAGGATGTGTGACAGGCCGAGGCCGGCCCTTCGGTCCGGGTCATCGCACAGGCCCGGCGAGGATGCTGGAAGCGGTCGACTCACGCCCAGCCAGTCTACTCTGCCCCTTCCCTTCCCTTCCCTTCCGATCGCAGTCCGGTCCGGCAAGTGGCACGGCGCCAACGCTCCGCGGGGGGCACAAGTGTGTGCACCTGGCACCTGCATCCGCCCTGCATTGCATAGCGGAGTGCCCCCCCCCCCCCACTCCCTCTCCCTCTCTCTGTTCATGGCTCCTTCTGCTGCTCCGAGTCTCTGAATGACGGGGACCTTGCACTCCTCGCAGGGTAACGCTGCATACAGTTTGCGCCAACCGCATACCCGCGCATTGTTTTCCACACACTACTACGATGGGGGAGGGGAGGGGGGGGCGGACGTCACCAAATGGGTCGTGTAAATGCATCTGGCGGGAGAGCAAAAGGATTGTTTGTGTTTTCGTCCCGACCTTGATGATGCCGACCCAGAGTCCCGGCCAACGACCCACCCGCGCAGCGCAGCGCGGCGAGGCGAGTGCGCGGGGCCGAGGGGGGTATAACTCGGCTGACGTCACCGCGGCCAGAACGGCTCGACGCGCAGTTGTCGCGATTCACAGACTAATTACAATTAGGGTCATTATTTACATGCCAACTATAATCCAAGCCGTTTGCCTATTTTTTAGCTCGTTTGCGGCATACACGCTAAACACGTCGGACTCTTCTTTCTATGGCTGGGAGATGTTTCCCATGCGACCAGAAATAATCTTCATTGCAGATTCACGAATACACTACACTAAAAGCTAGCTGCTCCGTCAACCGCCCTCCGCTTCGGCTCCGAAGGTCTGTGCCGCGGAGCAGAGCCGCCGTGCCCACCGCCGTGCCGCCCTGCATCGCCAGCTACCTGGCCAGACCGGACTGGCCAGTCGCCGCCGCCGATTCGTCCGTTCGTTCATCCGTCCCGTCTTCGTTCGGCCCGTGGTTTGGCTTCGGCTTTGGGCTCGGCGGAATGCTGGCGTAATGAACCCGGCGTCCGAAACAAGACAAAAATAAAATCGTGGTGCGGCTCGTTCAAAAATATACTGGCGCGTGCCCGACGTGTAATCCACATTGCAAGCGAATTACCAGATTACCCGCGGCGCCCGAGGGGCATGGCAGTGGCATACCCCTCTTGAGCCGTGGCGCCTCGCGGGAGGGAGGGACACTGTAAAAATTCTTTGTCAATACCGTGGCTAATATTTAGTATAGGGGTGTCGTTATAGGTTTTTCTCGTCACAAAGGATCAAACCCATAAACCTATGGCGACACCCCTGTACTAAAAATTAGCAATGGCATTTTCGTCATCGTGACAAAGAATTTTTACAGTGGCGTAGGCAAACCCGCTGGACTGTGGGGTCCGCCCAGCCTGGATACGCCTGGTACTTACTACTACTACAACTGCTTTGCGCGCACTACCCGTGGGCTTCATCATATAGGATCCAACGGTCATTTGATTTTGCTTTCGTCATTATTATGATTATTGTAGCTCACGTTTTGTGACACCAACGCGTCGTCGGGACTTGAGTGGCGCTAATATAGCGTTGCATACGCGAATTAAAATCAGCGGGATGTCGTGCTTCTTCCCCTCGCGCCGTATACGTCCCCATAAAAATGGCCAGCACCGCAGAACGATACTGACGCACTCTCCGCGCCGCGCCACCTCATCACTTCTCCTATAAGCCCTCTGATCTCAAATTCAAAAAAATCTAAGCGGCACACGTTACGGAGTAGCACACTAAACAGTCTCCGGGGGAACGACCAGGCAGAGGAGGCTGGGCGGGCGGTGTCGGCGCGGCGGGGTGCGCGGCTGCACTATCTGCCCTCCCCGCCTCGCTCGGGGCTGCCCACTGGCCACCCCTGCCAGGTGGTTAACGAGGCGGGCCCAGCTGCATTAATGACGGCAGCCCGTTCAAACAACATCCGCCAAAGACGGCAGAAGCAGCAGCAGCTTCCGCCCCTCGCACGCGCATTCTCAATTATTATTGTCACAATACTGTTTCCAAAACAAATCTTTATTCAGAAAAAAAAGTATTATCTTTATTTGTTTGAAACGACGGTTTTGCGTGGGTTTATTCCCAAGGCAGAGGGTGGTGCTTGAGGGAGGGGCCGCCGGCGGTGGGGTTGTCTTGTCTAGCCGTGGGCCGTCGTCGGCATCATGTATAATGTCCATGTCGGACGTCGACCCTCCATTGATTCTTTTCGGAAGACAGGCCAGGGCGACCGCGATGAAATATGCAAAGTGGAATCTTTTAGTAGTGGTGTCCAAGCTTCGAGTTCGACTACCCTGAAGAGTATAGGGGCCCAGTAATGAGTAATCGATCCCATAATGAGTTAAAATTGGTTAAATATTTAAGTGCCAGGCCCAGCCTGCGTCACAGTTTTTTTTTTCGGGGTGGGGGTGAAGTATAATTTTTATAGCAAAGGCGTCATATCAAGTCTGTGCCAGAAAATACTCCTCACAATCAGAGGATTCATACAAACAATGGTTCCTCCATTTTTGGCCTCTTTTTTTTTTCTTTTCAAAATTTCTACCTCGGGAGGAGGGGGTAGACCTCCCGTCGTCGCGGCCGTAACCTTCTAGGTATGGCCGCGAAAGTGGAGATGCCTCTCGTGCCACTCACTGCAGCGTTAACTGCAATGTAACTTCGGCCTGGATCCGCTCCTGTGCTCGTCTCGTCCAGTCGAGCGACTCCCGCGCCCCCACGCCCCCCGGGGGGCCACTCCCGGCCACAGTAGTTCACTTGCTCGGTTCACTGCCAGTTAGCTTTGCAACAGAGCGATTCATAAACCCAACCCCCGGGCCGTCAGTTGACCGCTGGCCGATTGCTTCTGCACTCACCGTCGGCCTCCTGGTCGCAGGGGTCCTAGACGAATCGGCTGTATCCACTCGCGGTTATTGTTGTTTGTTGTCTTGGTCGGCCTCCTTGGCCTCCTCGGGGCACTACTTGCTCACTTGCACTGCACTTGGTCGGGCTCGGCGCGTAGCCGGCCGGCGTACGCTGGGGCACGCACGCTCGCACACACACACTCTCACTCGCTCACACACACGCACACGCACACATTCACAGACACCGCCTCGCACAGCGACCGGCGGCAAACTCGGACACGCACTGCACAGCTCGCCGGCACAACTGCGACTGGGCCGGGCGGGCGGGCCGGTGGCCGGGCCAGTGGCAGGGGCGGCACGGCCTCCCCCCGCCCCCCTCGCCGCGGGCCTCGGTGCGGCTCGGCAGAACGCGATCTCAGCTGTGCGAGCGAGAGAGACCGAGAGAGAACGACGGGCCCGCGGTCCGCGGGCGCGGGCGCCCAATGTCGTGTCCACCACCTCCATTTGCGCAGGCCGACTTGACGACTTCGCCTTCACGCCTTTGCCGTGACACCCCCGGCCACGGTACCACCCCTATACAGGGTGGCCGCTCTGCCCCGTCTTTTTAAAAGAGGTAGACTAGCCCGCCCGCACGACCTCTCCAGTCCCCTCTCACCTCCCCTCTCCGTCTGCAAGCGGGCTAGTCTACCTTTTCAATATGACGGGGCAGAGCGGCCACCCTGTATCCACCCCCCGGTCCCACCCCCTTTTCCAACCCCACCCATCCTGCTGCGTCCCCTCCCCGCCGGCTTCCTCCAAAACGTTTGCCAGCCGCGGTCCTGGATTCTCAGTAACGACTTTTACCCGTTGCTCCCCTCAATCTCTCTTTTGGCCCGCGCCCTGGTCACGGAGAGCGACAGAGAGAGAGAGAAAGAGAGAGACTGCACGGAGCACTCCGTTTGCTTGGATCTGGAGCGAGATAGAGAGCGTTATGGAGCGGTTTTGTCACCTCAGAGTCGGGTCGGGCGCCGTTGAGAGGGAAGACCCCGCCCGGCCCGGCCCCCGGGGCGGTGCGGGCCCCGGGGTGGCTATCTCCTGACGGCATCTCGCTCTCGTCGCGGCCGATACAACGTCACCACCGCGCCCGCAGTGAAGGAAGCGAGAGACCAACTTCACTTTAGAGTACTTTGGTTTTCGGTCGCAGTCGCTCGCATATCAGAAGACTCTGTGGCGGTGTGAGGAGGGGCAGTATAGTTGCGGGGACGTGTATCGCGTGTCGTTCACCTCCGCGGCCGCCGTCGCGTCGCGCCGCGCTCGCAACCCCGCCGAACAGCTGACTCACGTGGTGGCCCGGGCCGGGGCTGCAGCTCACCGCCGACACTGCGCGCTGCGCGGCTCAGCGTTTTCCACGCGGGGGCACGGCTGCGCGCCGAGCCGGGTCGTCGGGCCGAGCCCGGGCGCAAGGGGAGACATTCTGCTGCTTTCTCCCGGGGCTGCTCTATTGCGCCGCAGCGGGGCGCATAGCGAACGCATAGCTGCGTTGACATTGCAGCAGCAGCCGGGCCTGGAAGGGCCACGCCCACGGAGAGCGCGCCGCTCAACTTGATTTGTGTGGCGGGGCCGACCTCCGATCGATACTCTCGCGGAGAGTTTAACGCGCGGGGCTGCGCGAGGCGCACACGCAGCTTCACGAGCTTCACTCGCCGCCCCACCGCAGTGGCTGACCGAGCTCGACGGTAACGCACATCATGGGCTGATTTCTACGATTTTCAAGCTAAAAACAATGTCTGCTTTCTAGACAGTCCCCTAAAGACTGTCTCTACCAGAGGGAAAAGTCACTTCCCCCTCCTCACTCTCTACATAGCACAAGAGGGGGCCCTCGATTTTTTTTTATTCTGGAAAAAAGGGGAAACTTTGAGAAAACTCCTTCAGTTTTGAGAACAGCTCTTCAGATTTTGAAGAGGTTTCCAGAAAAAATGTGGGAATTCCCTCTCTTTTCGGAAGACTTCTTCAAAATCTAAAGAGTTTTCCTCACTTTATTTGGAAGTTCCTCTCAAACTTTTCTCTTTTCCCTCGAAAAAAACAAATCAGACAGACCCGTGTATCTAGCGGCTGGTCAATCTAGCAGCAGCGTCACCACATTGTGCTCATGCCACTCTCAACATTTTTTGGTCATGTGTTACAATGTTGTACAGAAGATACATTAGGATCATGAAGTTTATTGAAAAAACTCAAATTTAAAGGACCGGGCTGCGAGACGTGCATACGTGCACACTTTGCACAATTACTGTAATCAACGCCGTGCGCCAAACGTGCGACGGTTAATGAGGTTTTTCTTACACCGCCGGAGTTCGTATGGTATGGTAAGAAGAAGTGCACCGGCCTCTTGCAGCGTCAGCGCGTCCTCGTCTCGCGCGCGCCTTCACCACACACCGTCTCCTCACATCCCGCCCACCTCCTAGCGTCACGCGCATGACGCTCTGGGCGCGTCTCGCAACATCCTGTACTACTACTTGTCGGAGGTGTGCAGCTCCACCCCTCCGCCTTCAGCGGCCCCGCGCCCCGCCGCCAGAGCCAGGTCGTCGGCAGCAAGCTGTTCACAGCTCAACATATCATCATCGGCATGATCAAGCTGAGCGTGTTTCTTTTTTCCCACACCACCCGATAACGTGTGACGTGACGGACTGCTCCGCTCACTTCTTTACCATCACCGCGCTCTCGCCGCGCTGCAGCAAGATTCTTTTTCACGGCCGGGCTGAAATATGCGTTGTAAATGAGGTGCTGATGTGGGCCACGAGTTCGAAGCGGCGACCGAGTCGAGGGGAGCCATCGTATAGCCGCAGACCTGCCGATGCGGCGTTCCACGTTGAAGCGTTATGTTTACGCCGTGTTGTGCAAACCTGCGGGTTTGAGTTGCCGTCCCAAGTGCAGGGCATCGGCAACAGTGATTCGGAAGCACTCGCGCTTGATGGTTCCCAAAATAAACGGTGAAACATACCTTTTCCACGTCTCCGGAGTTTTTACAACAAGTTGTGGAAGAAAGCCGCGAATGCAAAGGAAGGAGTGGATATCATCCGTGTCCGACTGTGAGCTGACCCAGAGGCCAAGCAGGCAAGACGCAGCGACTCGCGTCGTCACGCCATACTCGCCGCTCCGCCCCGCCCTACCCCGCCCCACCCCGCCCCGCCCCGCGGCCCGCGGAGCCACGTGGCGGTGCGGTACCTGAGTGATGTATGACTAGGGTAATCATGCGAACACGGATAGCGAGAGGAGAGAAGGAAGAAGGGGCAGAGGAAAGGGGAAACGTATAAAATAAAGGCCTCTCCTCTCGTACCCTGCTGTGCCCTTGTGAGCCGATCTATTAGAATAGTGCGTGTGTTCCGTGTCCCCCCGTGTCCGGTATAAAAGCCGACGAGAATCGTCACATTCTTAGGAGTGTATCCAGTCTGTGCGGAGCTGTATTTGTAGGCTGATCACAAGTTTGAGTATACGCAGCGCAGACATACCAGGCAAAAAGACGCAATAAAAAATTAAATATATTTCTCTTTGGTTGGTAGTCGAAAGACACACACGCTCGAGTGGCAAGCCCCGGCCCGCTTCAGCGAAATCACCGCGGAGGTCAGGGTTGAAGGAAGCGCGCAGAGCCGCGGCAAAGTCGCTGCCGCCGCAAAGGGTAACCTCTAATGTCTCCGGCAAACACTTGTACGTACAGCACTCTCGTAAAAGAAATAGAGAGAGAAAAAAACTGTCTACCCGCGCCAAATACTTCCTGGACCCGGCCGCCGCACTCACTTAGGCGCCGCTTCTGCAATAAAAAGAATATAGCTAATGCCGAAACGGGAAGGAAAAAATCCGGTCGTTAATCGATACTATTCTTCTTGCAATAATTTCGATACCAGGCCGTGTAATTTTAGTCTGTGGCAATTTTGAAGTTGATTTTCTCCGCAGTGGAGGAGTGGAAAAGAGAAGAGACAGACAGACAGACAGACAGACAGACAGACAGACAGACAGACAGACAGACAGACAGACAGACACCCGTTTTCTTGTTCCCTGCATTCTTCTACATTTCAGCTGTACCGGAATGCTTTATTCCCAGGCTCTTCGGCGCGGCCTGTACGCATACCGAGACGCGTACTTACTACAGACAGACCCAATTATCAATTCGTATGGAAACTTCCCAAAGGGATCCCGCGGTTCGCGCGCTCCCGCCGCAGCTCCGACACAAGCATATTACGCCATCAAATTTTCGCGCCAATCCCCTGCCACGTCTTCGTTCGTGACCCCCGCACGTTGGTGCCGCGACGGCGACAGGGCCTTCCGCCGAACATAAAGACGCTATTAATTCCTCAAACTACGCGCGGCCGCCACACGGCGCCTCCACGGTAGCCCAGCCTCTCGCCGTTCGTGACGAATTTGTCTCCCCGAATATCCTTCATCGGAAAAGTACAAGTCGCTGACGCCGCGCGCGTTCGGCTGAGTTTAACAGTCCGCCTGCAGCGCCTACACCTCCCGCCATGCCGCCGTCCCGGGCCGTCCGGGTGGTAAATCATCCTGGAGCTGCACGTCCGCGGGGTCGCGCGTCTCGCCCCCGGCGTGCGAATGGCTTGTTTGCTGCGCCCAGAGGCTGCGCGCCGTGGGACTTCCCCCCTCCCCCACCCCTTTCCTTCTCTTACCCCAGCCGGCCGAGCCCGTTGAGCCCGCTCCTCTCGCCCTCGATCCGCAACCCTTCGCCTCCGGGCATGGTCTTCATCGGCGACCTCGCGACAGTGCGGCGGTCCGATGGTGCACGGCGGACAGCAGCAGGGCGATTCCGCACAGTGTTAACCCCCACCCCCCACCCCCTCTCTCCCACCCAGCCGCAGGGCCCCATGCGTCCGACGAGGACGGGAACAGAGTATACGAAAACGTCTGGGATTGACCGGGTTGTCGATCATTTGATGCTCGCCCGTTGCGGGCCGGCCACAGCACCAGACCGCAATCATCTCGATACAAATTTTCGTTCGCGGAGAGGGGGTTGTGGTGTTTTCTTTCATGACGATTCTACCCTTTCTCTTTCAGGGGTGTGTTTTATACGGGGGAAATGATCCACTACACTCGACTACACTAAACCGACTTCATTCGGAAGCTAGAGTGGCGGCGAACCGCGGCTGCCACTGAAATTCGGCTTTAAAAGTGTATTCTTTAAAAAAAAAAATGTATTCATCTCCTTAAAAAACAACGGATTTGCACCGGTCTTTCATATCTCGAGCACGCACCGACGCGCCCTTACCTTTGTGTTTCCAGTGCATGTGCGCCATATTACATTCCTTGTTCACTACGACACGGCCTTGCGCCTTGGCCCCGGTGACGTTAAGTGTTGAGTTGACACACTTGGGCTCTCCCTGACTCTGACTCGGCCCGGCCCGGGCCCGCCCGGCCGTGTCCGCACCGCGGTCAGGAAACGGAACGTGGGAGACGTATGGTGTATGGCGCCGTGTTTACGCAAAATATCTCGCGGGTGGTGGATATTTGGGTCCAATAAGTGTCGTGACGTTCGACGCGAGTGTCACAAAAACGGTTTGCTCCATTATCAATCAGTCCACTGTTAACTAGTTGGCGTCTTTAAGCGCCAAAATATTGGCTTACTCTGATGAACCCCAAAATGTTGGCGTTCAAAGACGCGCCATAATGTCAATTTTTTACTGTTTGGGGGTCCGGTTTGTTAACGGTTGAATGCTCTATACTGTGAAAACTATCAATCGTTTAATCGTACATCGCGAAGACTCAAACAGCAGTATCGGAAGGAAGAATCTTTTTATTTTTTTAAGCTGATGCTCGCGGCGACCGCGAACGAACACGCCGCACTGGTGTCGCGATCTGTCATCATGGCGTTGCCATGTGAGTTGACTTCTTTTTTTCCCCCCGCTCCCCCTCCCGGGCTCCACCTTCGAGACGTTGTTGGAGACACCCCATCCCCCCACTAAATGGCGCGCTGCTCCTTGTACCGCGCCGCCGCGGTGCCAGGCCCAGCCCAGCCCGGCCCGGCCCGGGCCCGCAGGATCATTGGCGAGTCAGGTGGACTCTGGACCATACCGCGGAGGTCCCCGACGACGACGCGTCCCGCTCCGCCCCTCCCGCCGCCGCGCCACGCCCCTCCGCGCGCCCGTCTCTTTCTTCCCCGCACTCACCTCGACCCCTCGACTCCTGTGTGCCATGTCTTTTTCTTTGTCTCTCTCTCTCTCTCGCTCTTTCTTGCTGCTCCAGGAATCACCTCGACACACTTTGCCTGGTGGAGAGGGACCCCCTCCGGCTGACCGCTCGCTATCGCGTGCCCCGGGTGCGTGCGATCCCGAATCATTCATTCCCCCCCCCCCTTGCTCCCATCCCACATATCCACCCCTTCATTGTCGCAAGCCGGACGCAGTATGCGTTTGTCTGCACGCTGCAGCGGTCAGCTACTGACAGCCCGTCAGCAGCGGTCAGCCACTGACAGCCCAGCAGTGTGGTGAAGTGTGGAGGCCGGACGTGCCGCGGCGCACGCGCTCACCGATCACCTCGCGGGCCTCGCGGGCCCGAACCTGAACTCGAGCCTCTTGACTGTGATCCTATAGCGCTGCGTCTGGAAGCTGCTGACACTGACATGTAAGGACGTCAAACACTCGGGGATAATCCGGTGGACATCGCAGGCCTCGCTTCGGTTCTAGCCAGCCGACTCGCCGAGGTGAGCGCCGAAAGTTTTCTTTTTGTTTTTAATTTGATATCCTGAGCAGGTTTTGTGCTGCAGGCGCTCGGGCGGTCGGGTCGAACGCTCGAAGCCCGACGAGCCTGGCCTGGCCCCAGAGGGGTACACGGCCGCCTCCGGTTGTGACGAGGGGACGTCCTTGGGCCGCGCGCCGACGGTCTCTTTTTTTAGGAATCGGAAGGAGATATTTCATAACATTTTTCCCTCGCGTCCCCCTCTTTAGGTCGGCGCGTTTCCTCCGGATAGATCGATCAGCTGTCCGCCGGTATCAAGGTGCCAAGGTGCGCGGCTGCCTCCCGCTCCGTGGCGGACAGCCAGCTGTCCTCCGAGGGCGCCCGGGGATCATTCTATGCAGAACGTCGGAGATGTAGTGTGCCGCCGTCGCGACGTGGAATAACTCGGTGTTTGTTGCATATCGCCATGGGTGAGGCTGCGGCTCGGCCCTGGTCCTCTGCTGAGGTGGGGGGGGGGGGGGGGCTGAGGTAGCCGGACAGCAGATGAAAGGCGCCTTCCGTCCTCTGCGACAGTATCAGCCTCCAGAGACTCTGACTGACGCAGACAGTCTCCCCTCCCCCTCCGTAGAGGTCACAATTAATTATCATTTTCCTCGGTGTCCTGCCTGATCGCTTCGGCATCGGAAAACAAGCAGACGGGGGAGAGAGAAAAAGTAGCAGTAGAAGAGGCCTGCTGCCGTCGTCGAGCCATCTATAAATGCCATTATGATTACTGCCCGAGCTGTTGCGAATACATATTTATTTGAACGAGGAACAAGCGGCTCGGCCGGGTTCGAATTAGCCTCGCGGTGTCGATTATCCGTGTGTCGGGTGGTGACGTCCTCCTTGCGAGCTTCTCACGAGACAGGATTGTGGCCGACCGTTTACGATACAGCGCCGTCGCCGCCGCCCGCCTGCTCGCCGTAAAAAAACGCATCTTTTGCTGTTATCGGGCTGGACTGTCTGGTCGTCTGCAGCTGCAGCTGCGCTCTGACACCTGCTGCGTGTGAGGGGGCGGGGGGCGGGGCTCTCCGCCAACCCTTCCTATTCGCAGCCCCCCTTATCGGAGCGCCAGCCCCCGCCCCGCCCCCTGCCCCGCGCCCCCAGCCCCGCCACGCAGCTCCAAGGTCGGCTCGGGCTGCTCGGTCGCGAGCTATCCACCCAGGAAACTGGTTATAAAGTGGGGCAATCTGGACTGTCTTTATTCGTGTGCGTGTGCGTTTGTGTGTGCGCGCGTATGACGCATGTGCGAAACAGACCCAACTCCGCGTTCCTCGAAAGCTGATGTGTGTGTGTGTGTGTGTGTGTGTGTTCGCCAAATTCATGACTCCCTTCCCTCCCTTTAATCCGTCTCTCGTAAGCTTCGCCTTCTTTCCTTCCACTCTCGTTCGAAAAGAAGTCACTGATCGAAGCGATAAGCAGTGTGCCACCCCAGCATCTGTGGGGATGACTTTGGTCACCGAGCTGACTGAGGCTGCACAAATAAACTATGGCTTGCCGCTTGTATCGCGACTCTTGCCGCGCGTGTTGCTGCTGTATAGTAGATTTTGTTTCAGTTGGTTTTCGTTTTTTAGAGCTTTAGGTGAAATGGGGGGGTTCAAGGGGGAGGCAGAGTGCGTCAGAGACGAGGTGGCCGACGACGTCACTCCTCCTCGCTGCTAATGAGGGCAATCAGCCGGCATGGCATCGGGAGGCGACAGGGGGTGGGGGGAGACGGGGGAGGGGGGCGCAAGGCTAGCCGGACAGGACACGGAAATGCCTTTGCATGCCCCGCCCGGCCGAGCACATCCTCGCCAGCAGAGACTGAAGTCAGAGGACGATAGGCCGAGTAAATAAACGTTCCTCACGGAGCGGAGTGTTTTGGACTAGCACCATACCAGGCTGGAAAACATCGTCCTCTTTCGTAGTTGTATACTGCAAAGCACACAAAGATGCATTCGTATTTGCATCTTTTTTGTACCAGGTGGCTGATTCACGCCGCGCACTTCTGTAGGTATACTGTACCGCATGCACGGGTGCGGGGGGGTTGCCTACTCGCTCGGCTCGTAAGGCGCCGTGGACAGGGGCGATAGGCATGCCCGCTGCCCGCCGACACTCGTGCGTGCGGTACAGTATACCTACAGAAGTGCGCGGCGTGTATCAGCCACCTGGTACAAAGTTGAGCAATCCTGTATTATTTAAGCGCACAAATTTGTCCAAAACGGAACGTAGGTTTTACTTAAAACAAAACGTTTGCCATACAAATACAGTTAGAGTGCGGGCGTGACAATGATGGGGCTCCGAGCGAGTAGGCAATCTGCAGTGGGCGGGATTTTGACCAATCTGTGCAGTGCAGGGCATGTTCGAAAAGAATACCGATAGAGGAATACATGCACGACACGTACCGTGTACAGTATCCTGATCACAGCCTGCTGATCACATGTAGAAATAAAATAAAAATCTTTCCAATGTGAATGTTGTTTTTTTTATATCATTGTAGAGATGACAACTTGAGCGTTCTTACTGCTACTACCATCACATAACTCGACATAACTCTCGGTAGGTGAGCGGGGTCTATAGAGTCATTACACGGGCTGGGTACAATCAGTTTGGCATGCGGCTGCTATTTCTGCTGGTGGCGGGTCACGGGCGCGGCGGGGGCAACGTCGCGAGCAGCAAAATAAGCAGCGGTAGCGGCGCCGGCGAGCTCAGGTGTACAATGGGCGGCCTACCACGCCGGGCGCTGCGGGCTGTCGGCGTCGATCAACAGCCAGCACCGGAGCTCGTCCCTTGGCTGGACGCGACACACATGTGCCTGTACTGACGATCCACAGTAAAGAGAAAGCCCAAAGTGTTGTAGAATAAATATCGACATTGTTTTTGTCATGCACAGTTTAAAAATATAATTTTAAGTCACTTACAAATTTGCAATTATCAATTTTACAGTTGTGTTAACTAACACAATATTATTAATAAATGATTGACAGTTTCAATCTGTTAAATTAGTGTCGACTTTTTAAACAGTGTGTCATGTTTGTTCAGGCGGAAAACTTTGCAAAAAGTCCGCGTCTTCGTAGATACATTATTGTATAAAGTTCGGGAACGACACTACTTTATTTGTTTTTGAGGTAAGATTTGGTCGGAGACCTCAACTGTGTCCTAAGAGTTTAGTGGCCCACAGCTGGTTCGAATTGGCTGAGGACGATTATATAAGTCACCGTTGACGCGAAACCCTGAAGCACAATGCAATGACAATAAAAGCCGGTAGCCAAACAAAACATAGGTATGGTGCGTAACTGATCAGTTTTGTGAATTCGTTCTCTTGTTTTGAGTTTTACCGCTTTCATAGTCTTCAAGTCGTAGTGGATCAGGCCAAAAATCCCAGGGCGGTTGTCCTGCCTGCGTATTTGCTGAGCAAAGCCCTGAAGCTGCCGGATCAGAGAGCGGAGGAAAACTGAACGACTGGAGCATCTCCTCTCCGGCGGTGGTTTGACGATCGCGACTTACCTCCAGCTTTGCTTCAGTGCAGAGTTGAGGGTTGGAGACCAAGAAGCCCCGCAACAGGCAGTACATTTGTCCGTGCTGACAACAGAAGAGAGTGCGTCACGTCACCGACGAACCCGTTCTGTTTAAACGAGCGCTCGCTACATTTCACAGAATTACACTGTTCTTACGTGGTCAACCAACTTCTGGCCCAATATGCACATCCCACAGAACATCGTGAGCTCGAAGGCGCCCCACGTACAAAACCACGCGTTCAGTAGGGGCTCCGACGGATCTGCCACTTGCCGAAGTTGCGCGAGGCCAAGGTAAAGGCACAGCACGGTCTCCATGAAGACGTGGGCGAGGCAGCTGAGGTAGCACCAGCCGAACGCCGAGTTGTGGTGCAGCACCATGTCGTGCAGGAACTGCTGTCGCACCCGCAGCTTACGGAGCAACTCGACGTGCGCCGGGCACTTGCTCGCCTCCGCCTCCGAGACCCACCCCTTCACGTTACTGCTCTCGTCCGTGGCGAAGCCCACGTACAAGGCGGTCATTAAAAGCTGCATGATCCCGACAAGCATCATCACCACGGACGGCACCAAGTCTCCCAGCATGTAGGAGAATAGTTGCATCCACGTTCCCGTGGTGGCCATCGCGTAAGTCGAAGGGCCGGCGACCAGCACGAGCCCGACCACGTAGGTCGGCCCGACTAAAGCCACGGCACCCCAGACCGCGGGCTGACCGACTCGGCTGTAGAGCAGCATGCACTCGGTGACGAGGCACACGTCCTCGGGACGCACCAGCATCACAACCTACGGGCAACCTAGTGAGAAATCCAAGGGGGCGATATCGAAACGATACGGTAATGACGTCACCTATGTTTTTTCCCCCCATACACCCAGAAAATGCTTTCCTTGTTATAAAAGGCCGTCGGTTTTGAATTAAGGAAATCCTTTCTTTATTCGGGGATATAAAGAAAGAAATTCTTTGAATCCAAGAAGACATTACTTTATTTTGACCCCTTATTTCGACATAAATTTAAGGCGATTTCTTTGTACCAAGAAAATTTTCCTAGATTTAAAGAACGCCATGTCGTTTTTAGTCCTACAATTTTCGATTTGTCGCCTTTGACACACTCAGAATCTTCCTTTGATCTTTCATAGACTAAATTTATTACTTAAGTTTTGCTGATGATGCTAGGAAAAACGATGCTTCTGAAGCCATAAGAGAAAAAGGTGACCTTATTTCAAGGAAACGGTTTTCTGGGTGTAGGTCGTCATTCCGATAAAGTTGCGATGCTTTACCCAATTCGCACTTGGGTCAACAACTTCAGGACGAACACACGCCTCGACTGTCTTGCTCACCTGCGAGACCACCGACCCGACGAGCTTGACGCTCATTTCGTAGAGGCATAGTAACACAATGTAGTTGATCTTGCCTATATCCTCGCGAGTGGTCTTAATTTCAATTAGGGCTTGGACGTCGTGGAGGATCCTGACCGCGAGCACCAGGCTGCCGTACCAGCGGAGGCCTCGCCAGGGCCGCGGGGGCCATCCGCGGGTGCAGTTCATCCCGAACACGGAGAGCAGCGCGAGCAGCGCGCGCCACTGCCGCGCCCAGTGGCGCACCCAGCCCGGAGGGGCCGGCGGCTCGTGTTCTGCGGCGGGCACGGCGTCCATCACTACGAGTCGCCCGCCTAAGCGCTCGCCTCACCAGTGCAACGGTCGATAATCCATTAAGGACGATTAAAAGAGAGTGATGGGGGTGGGCCTCTTTTCAGAAGCACCTCCTTTACTTTCTCCCATCGGCTCTTCTGTCCGATTCTACTCGTTGAATGGTTCAAAGTTAAAGTACGTTTTGCTTTTCGTATAGTAGACGAGCCACGCCGCCGTCCTACTTTGGGATCGTCCGGAAAATACGCCCGCTTTTCTCAGAAAGCATTCTGTAAATTACGGTAGCCTGGCGCCTGCGAGACTCGTGGTAGGCCAGCCCGCAGTACACGTGAGCACTGCATGCAAGATGTTGCCTACCCATCAGGCGCTATGAGAGCTTTCATGAAGGCTAAACTTGTACGTTAATTAACGCCGAATAACGGACGTACTTTTCTGGATGATCCTTGATCGTTTTCGCGGCCAGTGGCCGTGTTGACCCCTACCGACAGTATATGAAATCTTACAGAAAGCGACGGATATGATACCCTTAGATTACGGTTTTATCTCTTACAGTGACAGATTTTGAATGACAAAATAAGTCTAGATCGTTGTCGAGACGACGACGTCCATAGATTTCTCATTGTGGCGAACCTTTTTTGTGAGCCTCGACCAGACTCTTGAAGAGAGGTCCATCCCGAAGTAACGCGAGGGTACGTTGGGCGGCAAACAACGTTCCACGAAGCCCCCCCCCCCCCCCCAAGGCTAGTGGCTAGCATGCCGCCGTCTTCACACAGCTGCTCGGCGGGTTTGCCTACCCCGCGCGTATCAGGCGCTAGCGCTGTCTCCTGAAACGACCATAGTGGGGACATACTGTTTTTATCTGGATGACGGTTGTTCAGGGAGCCACAGCCGGTACGTACTAAATGCATTAGTTCGTCTCTTGCTAGCTAGCCTATGTTTTCCCCTAGGGCTCGAACTGGCAGAGGACGATAATGTATGTCACCAGTGTTGCAAAGCCCTGGAACATGCAGTGACGACAAGTTCCATGTAGAAACGTATCAGCATCGGCAACAAGAAATATAATTTAGATTAAGTATACAATTATTCTCTTTTACCGTTTTCATGGTTGTCAAGTCGTAGTAGAGCAGGCCAAACATACCAGGACGGTTGTCCTGCCTCTGTATTTGCTGAGCGAAGCTCTGAAGCTGCCGTATCAGAGAGGGAGACTGAGGAACGGAAGAGAAACTCTGGGAAAATCCGTGGAAATCCCAGTCTTCCTCACTTACCTCCATCTTTGTTGCACGGCAGAACCGCGAGTTTGATACCCTGGCGGTCTGTATGTCGCAAAAAATGCGTCCGTGCTGAAAAAAGAGAACAGTGCGTCATCGATCGCACGCTTGGGGATCGTCCGGAAAGTACGTCCGCCTGTGAGACTCGGGTTAGGCCACCCCGCAGTATACGCGTGCAGTGCTGGTGAGATGCTGCCTACCTAACAGGGGCCATGACAGCCTGCAAAGGCAGGTTTGTCTGGGCGAATGACGGACCCACTTTCCGAATGATCCCTTGCATGCGCGGCAGGTTGTTGTTTTTTTAAGTTAAGCCTTACTATGTCGCTCAACAGCTGACCCAAGACGCACATGCCGGAGAACATCGTGACCTGAAGGATGCCCCACGTGAAAAACCAGGGGTTGAAGAGCAGCCGCGGCTTAACTACTTCAACATTATCCAAACTCCGTCGAAAATACGAGACGCCAAGGTACAGGCATATAACGGCCTCCATGAAGCCGTGCGCAAGGCAGCAGAGGAAGCACCAGCCGAACGCCGAGTTGTGCTGCAGCACCATGTCGTGCAGGAACTGCTGCCGCACCCGCAGGCCCCGGAGCGAGACGACAGGCAGCAGAACCGGGGGTCTGATCGCCGTACGCGCCTTCTCCTCCGATACCCACCCGCCGACGTGTCGTCTCGCGTCCCTGGCGAAGCCGACGCTCAGGGAGGTGAGCAGGAGCTGCATGATCCAGAACACGAGCAGCGGCACGGCCGACGTCAGCTCCCCCAGGACGTAGGACACCTCCGTCAACGATTCGTCGGCGTTGCTGGCAATCAGGTACACGGCCAAGCCCAGCACCATCCCGAGGCCGGAGGCGTACGCCGGGCCGACGAAGACCATGGCGCCGCAGTCCGAGGTGGGCGACCCGGATCGGGAGTACAGCAGTACGCACTCGGTGAGCCGGCACACGTTTTTGCAGTGTATGAGCATCACAAACTGCAGGCATGGGCCAGCGTCAGAGGGAGCAGCACAGGGGAGACAATGGCGCGTTTGGCACGACGTGGGTCACAAACCTGCGCAGCAGCCGTCACGACGCATTTCAAGGCGATCTCGCAGAGGCACAGAAGCATGGCGTAGTTGTCCTTGTTCCTGTCGTAACTGTCTTTCATGCTCAAGATGACGACGACGCAGTGCGCGGTCCTGACCACCAGCACCAGTCCCCCGTAGCACCGGACGCGCCGCGAGGGCCGCGGGGGCCAGCCGCTGGTGCAGTTCATCCCGATCAGGGAGAGCAGCGCGAGCAGCGCGCGCCACTGCCGCGTCCAGTGGAGCAGCCACCCCGAGGGGCCCGGGCAGCCCCGGGGGAGCGCCACGGCGGGCGCGGCCAGCATGACTAGGGGGAGGTGCCGGGCGCAAAGGGCTCACCTCGCGTTGCAATGTGGTCGAGGTCGAAAGTCGATTAGTTAAGTGTTGGCCTGTGTGGGGGGCCCTGCGTCAGGAACACCCACACTAGGTCACCGGCAAATTTCATTAGAGTGAGTGTTGCACCGTAGGTCACGCGGAAATGCGCCCTGGTTCACTGCAGAGCTACATACTTGACTAAGTGCTTTACGGCGCAGAAATTAAAAAAGAATGTTCATACTACGCTACTAGGTGGGATACCTGCTCTTTTGTAACTCCCCATGTTTATCTGGTATTCTAGACAGTCGGTAGGGCTCTAGTTGAAACATTTGATAGCCAGTGAAAACGCAAAGCAGTCTGATCCAGTTAACACGTTCCCTGCGACATGACCACTATGTGGTCACGCTCCCATGTTAAATCATAGAGGCCAAACATTAGCCACAAGGAACGTGTTAAAACACACAAACTATCGAAGCAGCAAAGCGTTTCCCCATCTATGTATTTGTCTAAAGTGTCTTCAGGCGGGGATTAGGGGGGTGGCCAGGGGGCCATCCCCTCCCCCAATCGTGTCTTGTGAGCCGCCTGAAAGGTAGGCAATATGAGCCACAAAACCCCTGTAAGTAGGCAACCGACAGTGCAACCCCC